ACACAACACACACACACACACACACACACACANACTATATATATATATATATATATATATATATATACATAAACATACACACATACACACATACACACAGACACAGACTCACAAAGTCATACAAACACACATGCATAAACGTGAGTATATGCCTGTGTTATATATATATATAGACAATAAAAATATTAGTGCACATGCAGTGATTATTCACAATGATACATAAGTCAAACCCCCTGGCCGTACGGAAAATCAATTCGAGTCAGATTTGGGAGATCTCTGTAAGCCCATACATTCGCCTTTCACAGATTATATTTGTGAAAACATTGTACGTTAAATGCTACATGTGACGCCCGTGCTCAACAACACTGAGTTCACTCGCATTTCACTGGCAAAGGAACATAAGTTGGTACGCATACATGTCATATGTACCTCTATATAAACTACCCGCTGGTCATTATCACATCGGCCTAGGCACTGGTAACTCTCATTAAACAAAAAAGGGTCAATATCACTTGCATGCACACAGATTTGGCTTTCGAGAAGAAACTACGCTCCCCCTTCAAGAACTCTAAGTCGCATCTAATCACATATCTGAAGTCGGACGTGGAAGCACGCGCATTGGAGGTATGCTTGGCGCGCTAGATAGTCTAGTGTGCTACGGATTGGCGCGTTCACGGGTGTACTTTCTAGCGGGCGCGCGCGTGTGAGTGAGTGAGTGTATGTGAGTGAGGTTTTGTGTGTGCGTGTGAGTGTTTTGTGTGTGCGTGTAAGTGTTTGTGTGTGCGTGTGTGAGTATTTGTGTGTGCGTGTGCGTGTTTTGTGTGTGTGTGTGCGTGTTTTGTGTGTGTGTGTTTGTGTTTATGTGTTTGTGTGTGTTTGCCTGGTATCTACATAAGATACCTTGAAAAAGGGGAAGATGCGCACGCTCCAATCGCAGTCTCTGTCTATACACCGCTACACCTCACAGCTCTTAAGCTTTATCGAATTCGTATGTAGACTGGTCTTTGAACATTCCTGGTCAGGCCTGTTACACATGTTTACGTAGCAATTTTGGACACGTGTACACAATTACAGAAATGGGGAACTTTTGAAGTTCTGGAGCAGCAGCGCAGCTACAGAGACGACCACGCCTCTGCCACCAGGAATCGCGCGTATAATAGACTAAAGCGATACATAATGGGCACTCCTGGTAAGTGGTTCGATGTGGTGTGTGAGTTGCTTATTTTCTCTAGTTATAATACTAGCCGGAATCGTGCACTTACACGCTTTAACGGTTCATAGAAAGGGCATTCGCTATACGTAGGTGTGTATGGTGCATGAGTTGCATATGTTCTCTATTTATAGTACAAGCAGGAATCGTGCACAGGAAAACTTCACGGAACATAGAAGGCGCTCGCGGTAGGCAGTTGTATGTGATGTGCGAGTTGCTTATGTTCGCTAGTTATATTACAAGCGGGAATGGCGCATATGACTAGCTTCTACGGAACACACACACACACACACACACACACACACATATATATATATATAGTAGTATAGT